CTGTCTGTAACGCCAGTTCCAGGGGATCCAACAGCCTCTCCTGTCCTCCTCGAGCATTGCATGACATGGGTGCAGGCAATACATGCATACACATAAAAATAATAAATAAAATATTTATTAAACATCATACTACTTTAAAATGGAAACAAAAGTAGTCTCTCTCACATTTTTCACACATACACACACACACACACACACACACACAAAACAAGATCCTTCGTTTGCCTGTCAATTCTAAACTTCTTAGGGACAAATCTTAGAGCATTTGGAATTCATGGATGGGTTGTGAAAGGGCAATTGACTTGAACTAAATAAAGTAAATCAAACTGAACTGTTGCATAGCTTAAGTTAATCTCTACTGAAAAAAAAATAGCAATCACCAAATTGCGTTTATTTTTTGCTTAGCTTTTACCTTGAAATAAAAACAAATATCAGTTGGTGACCACATCATGTTCAGATGTGGTATTCTTAAAAGATCACTTTATATCACCATAATATGACAGGCAGAACATTTTAAAGTTCACTAGATGAAGATCTTGAAACCTGAACTCTTCCGTTAAATAGCTGTGATCATGGAACACATCTACTTTCCCTGGGCTTCCTGCTCTCTGTAGATGGCTCAGTGAACTTCATCCCCATCACCTGATATTTCTGCTTCTAGAATTCTCTGAAATATCAGTCAATAGAGCTAAATTCTGAGTCAGTCTGGCAAATTATTCGCTGAGGACATTGAGCCCCATTGTCCCCTTCTTTGACTAAAGGAGTAGCATCTCTGTGGAATGGATATTTTCATGGAAATAGAACTTCTCAAATCTGTCTCAACTCTATTCCTAATTGCCTTTCAGATGTAGAATTCATTTAACCCAACGAGATCTGCTTCCTTAAGTAAAATGATGACCTCCAGGGCTCAAATAAATAGATCATAGTAAAAATATATTTAAAAATTGTTTATAAATCAATTCCACATACAAAATAAATAAGCAATACTTTGGGCTGTCTTAAACATTTTTAAAAGATTGTTCCTGTCTAGCCCCTTTAACTGTTGTAACAAAATGCTATAGTCTTAGTGACTTAAAAATTAGAATTTTTTCTGAAGTTTTCTCATCTATCTGGAAACCCAAGATCAAGGACCTACAGGTTTGATACTTGGTAAAGACCTATTTCTAGCTTGTGTAAAAGCCTTATCCAGCATGGCTGGAGAAGCCCCACCCTCTTCCTCTTTTTGTAAGGTCACTCATCCCATCATGAACTTACTTGCCACTCAAAGACCCCATGTTCTAATACCACCATGTTGGAAGGTAGAAATTCAACATGTGAAAATTTGGGGGTCTACAGATATTCATCCCATAGCATATTTTATTCCTGTGAAAATGCTGTTAGCATAATTGGGGTAGTTTTTGATATCTTCAAAGGTAAAAAGAACTCTCAAAGGAATTCAGGTGATTAACACCATGAGTATCATTTTAGCATTAAAATTCCGGCAAGAGACAAACAGTCCCCACTCAAAATGTCAACTATTAAACCACACCATTCTTTAACAATTCCATGTATTTTAAATTTCTGTAAAAATATGAGTTTCTAAGGAAACAGAAAAGATCAGCTAGTGATGCCCTCACTCATGGATGAGAATTGGGAGGACTGAGGACTCGGTGTTTTAGCAAATTGCTGATTATAATAAAGACCTGTCCTACACTGATTAGTCCTCTACCTCATCTTTAGTGACAATGATTTCCGCTTCCTTATGTGACCAGTATAGTATTTAAAGATTTTGGCTCAGCAGGGCCTTTGATCAGGGTGCATAGGTTTCCTGAAGGGTATGAGCATTCTGTAGGTCAAACTCAGTCATCACAAAGAACATCTGCTCTACATCGTTCATTTATTTTTTTGAGGTTTTTTTTTAAAATTATTATGTTTTAGAAGAAGCATTTCATTACAGCTTTAACATATTCAATAACAATTTCCAGAGCAAAGATACATGTCTTTCAAAACTGGCTATAAAATTTTTAGGTTCACAGCTGAAGTAATACAGTTACGCTATTGAACTCAGTATAAACCCTGTAAAACATAAAATTGAATGAGTTTTTAACCTTTAAAAAAGATCTTCATTTCATTTAAAAATATACTGTTTCTTACAGAAAGACTCATTGTTTTTGCTAATAATGCTTAGATGTTGGTGCACGCATCTCTAATCTGTATGTATCACATCCTTCATTTAGACACGGGGACGTGGGGGGAGAGGGAAACTGAGATGCTAGCTAAAGGTCTCATGGCTAGTAAGCTACATAAGGCAAGTGGATCCCAGACTCTTGGTCTGACTCTGCAGATCAGACCAAGGAAAGCACTCAGCTCTACCACTACTTAGACATGTGACATTGGGACAAGTATCTTAGCTTTGCAAGACTTCAATTCCACATCTGAAAATTGCTAATAATGTAAAGATGAAATAAGAGCTAAAATGTTTGGTACATGATGCGTGCCCCCCCACACA